TGAACTGCCCGCAGTGATGAGAAAGACAAAATCACAGCGATGACTTATGTCGTTTGAGTGAGTCATTTTTTAAGACCCCAAATTTAAAGCGAAAGTGAGAGGTTATAAGTTAATTGTGGCGCCGGATTAGAAAAGGAAAGTTACGCTGGGACCCTCCCTGTTATATGCTTTCGAAGAATATGCCCTCCAGACAAAACAGCAACACAGGTCTGCTGCTTGAAAAAGAACACAGCCTCATATCTATTGACCTAAATCAAAATGATTACTATCTTCTAGAGAAAAGGTCACCGGAACATGACATTAGTCATCACAGCCAGGAAAGATATTTTCCAAGTTGCTGAAAGCTTTACTTTTCCAAACCTCAGTTTGCACTTGTTGCCTCCAAAGGTTTCGTTTAACTGAAATTATGTCCAATGCGACATAATAAAATGCAGATAGCAGAAATACCCACTTACACACACCTACTCTGTCTCATTTATTAGAGCTGTTTGCACAACCTGGCTTGTCCCTACTTACTTTCCACACTGCAGAGGCAACAACTGCGCATCCCACTGCAGAGTTAAAACAGGCATCGTCTTTCCATACATTATTTCCACTCAGATATCTCATAGCAAGCTTCGGTGAAGTCCTTATAAGTAGATTTGATTAAAAACTTCCACTTTTAGGGATTTTCCAGTTCGTAATCACAATGGACAAGGTGTTAATTTTCAGTCATTTTCAATCCTCTCTATGTGCTAACACTGGAAATAATCCTAAATCTAATCATTAGCAGTACATTTCTAACCCTAACCTTAACCTGAACTTAATTCACACCTTAGTCCCAAACCGAACCCTTAGCAAAAATCCAAAATGAGGACCTTTAAAATGTCCAAACTTTTGTACAAATCATCCTCTATTTGATGGTGAAATCAGTTAAATTGGTCCTCAGGTCTTTGTGAGGCCTTTTCTATTGACTTCCATTCATTTCTAACAGCCTAATTGTGACCTTTACACTTAACTCAACTATTATGGGTTCATACCTAACCACAACCTGAACTCAAATCCCATCCTAGCCCTAAAGGTGACCCCTGACCCTAAAACAACAGTTTCCCTCATGAGGCCCAGGCATTGGGTCCCATAAAGAGCAGTCGATCCTCACAATGTGCTATTTTTTCAGAAAATGGGCCCCATAATGTATCAAATACAAGTATTTCTGTCCATATAAGGACTTTATGTTGACTTTCATCCATTTTAGTTTCTGCATTTATGCCTAACTCTGAAATTTAACCTAACCCTAGCAGCTATCTCTATAATTCTAATCCCAACCTGTAGTGAATTTAAACCATACCTCTAAACATTAAAAATATCCACTACATCAGCCTTTGGTCCCCGCAGTGTCATAAGTTAGTTAGTAACTATAAGAAAATGGTCCTAAACAGGTAACATAAACAGGTACACAAACATCTTTTTATATCTACACCTATTAGGCACTTGCTTTCACTGATATCTATTTTAGTTACTGCATTTATTCCTCATTCTGAGATTTAACCTAAACGTAACAGTTATCCCTAAGTTCCCAACCTTAATCCACAGTTAATTCACACCATAGCTCTAAACTGACTCTTTAATATTAAAGTGAAGGTCGACCAAATTAGGACCAGCTTTTGGTCCTCAGAAGGTTAGTAAATATAACATAAATTATCCTAAATAGGTAACAAGAACAAATTCACACACACCAACATTTCTTATATAACTAACACCATACATTGTTTTTCAGTTCTTTTTTATGTTGCTTTTTATTAGGGATATATTCAATATTTGATACAATAATTTAATTTATTAAGAAGCTTTTAAAACCAAACTTTTTGTGCTTCAAAGGAAATGGCCGGGTAAAATTTATAAATCCTTGTGACTCCTAATAAAAGAAAATGAGCATTTGAGGTTGCAGTAGAGACATTGAGGCCCAATTGGATTTACGTTTAGACTCCAAAACCTTATACTGTTATTTTTCATTCACCCAAATGAATGAGCTTAAGGTCATAAACTGATGGTGTGAAATTAGGAGCCAAATATAGTGTATCTAGTATTACAAGCTGTCATTTCAGGTCCTTTCAAGACCAAGATATTCACACTTCTTTATGCTAAATGTAGTGGGATGTAAAACCTTTCAAGAAGTTCCTCTTTCTGCTTTGTCAGCCCACAAACAACATTTCCCCAAAGTCCAGGAGATCATCGTAGTTTGTTTTGTTTGGCCAATTGTCAGGTTGGCTTTTGTGTTATTCTTCATTACCAGTGATTATCATCTAACACAGATAGCACCTTATTTCTGCATCTTAAAAAGACTTAGGCAAGTGTGCAAGCATAAAGTTCTTTAAAATGTTGCTTTGACCTCCTGAATGAGTTCTCACTGCACTCTTTGAGTAGCTAATTTTTGCTGAGTATTCCTGGAACTGTTTCTCTCTGGTAATTGTTTTATACATTTTTGGGCAATGTCTCACTGTTAGTCACTGGAATCTGAAAGGCTGAGAAAGTAGCTTCACATCTGTTTCCAAGTTGATGTATACTTTTCATTTATTCTAATTTTATTTGGCTTGGAGTATAATTTCCTGCAACCTTTTAGCCTTTTAATGTTGGCACACATGTTCTATTTATGCATTGATTCCACAGTTGAGCCTATAATATATTCTGATGAGGCAATAGAATTAAGTAAAAAAGGTGGTTAATCACACCTACTTCAAGATTTCATGAATGTAAGGTTGCTTTAACAAACAACTAAGTTGATTTAGACAGAAATCTTTCTGTAATACACAAAATAATAATTTGGTATTGCCCTTGGATTTCTTCAAGCTTTCTGAAACAGCTAAAAGTATAGTGGAATGTGTTCTTTTTCTGGGTGCATCATCAAAATAAGTGGTCCTCCTAACTGTCAATCGTCCTGGCAATACGTTTACGTAGGACAATCTTACGTGCTCGTAAGCATTCACTTACAAGTGCTGAGTCTGACATAGTGGTAAAATTGCAAAACTTCTTTTGGTAAGTACCGTAAGCTTGTATGAGCAATGCAAACAGCAACTTCTAAACAGAGCGTGCGCCAGGAGAAATGGGCTTGTGCATGCTCTCACACGCATATAATGGGCGTTCCCTCTCCTTAGTGGGTACGCTGTGCATGTGCATTCTTTTTCAAAGTGGAGAGGGCAGGTCTTTTAAAAAAATTTGCTTAAATCCTCCACTATACAGTATCTTTAACTATACAAAAAAGCAAAACCTGACTGAATATGTAAAGGGCGAAGGCATGACTCTGTTCTTCACTTAAAAATAAAATTCTAAGAATTAAAACTTACCTTTTACTGAATGCAAAACCTGCAATGACAAAAACTGGGATCTGCAGACGTTCAAGCAAAAATGATTTAATTGATTTTTGCTTCAATTTTTGTGGAGTTTTTTGGGGGTGTTTTCCGTTGTACTGTAGGATGTTTTATTTGAGGAACACACGTCTCACATGCAACACTTTTAGAATGAACCAACAGTATCTTCTGTGTCTTCCATGAGTCTCTGTTTGAGGTAACTGCAAAAGTATTTTAAAGGTCTATAAAACAGTAATAATTAATAATTAACTTAACCACCAAACTGAATATAAAATATTGAACAGCCCTTTAAATCCCCTGTTTAGAAACAACAGTAATTCTTGTAGTTTTTGAATAGAGTCATCCCAACCGTGAACGTATTCAGCTCTAACTAAACGCCTGTTCTGTTTCCCCTTCAGGAGCCCAACACAAGGGGACAGTATTTAGCTGCAGACCATGTGAGACGCACCGTGGCCAACACTTTCGCTTATGCTTCAAGTGTAAAAATGCATCAAAGTTTGACAGTACTTCAAGATAAGTGCGTAAAAACAGGCACACCTTTGGCGTATAAATGACTTTAGAAATGGTCTTCATTGATGGAAAAAGTTGGTTACAGAGAAAGACAGAGAAATCTCATCCCACACAAATTCTCTGTAAAAGTTTAGAGTTTAATGATGATATGGCATGAATCCAAACCACACAACGCATCACCCCCACATTTTAGACAATCGTGTTGCACACTTTTCACTCTGGAACATGATGACTCATTCATATATGTTCAAGACAACTGTGTCAAAAAAAGAAAAGCATCTGAGGAAAGGACACACATGATTTGTTAACTAGTTGGGCTGTTTGGCACTTTTTTCTCCTGTCGAGTCTGGAAGGGGAGAGCTTTTCTGACTTCAACTAAATCCACATAGAGCGCTTGAGAGGAAATTAATTTGAGGTTGACGCCCACCTTAACTCTCTCTCACACATACACACAGTTCCTGCGACAGTACATCTTTATCAAGCACTGTGCTCCAGGTCTGGGGTTGGAAAGTGAGTCAGGCATTCTGCTACCGACAACCCCCCTCCCCACCCCCCTTGCGGCCCCCATCACCACTTCCTCCTCAGTTTACAAACACACAACTCAGTGGGTGTTTTCATAAGGCTTCTGCGAAGCGTCACAAATGAAGGGAAAGAGTAAGATTGACTGTGAGAGATATGAAAAGCGAAAAAATATACTTCAAAGCGTGATGGGGCTTTTTTTTTGTACAGGGAGAGTAAGCATATTTGTCATGAATTGAAGTCTTTTTTCGAAGTTTAGAGTCAACAAAACCACTTTCCAGTTTTTACTTAAAAGAAAGCAAAGTGGATGCAGTGCCCCTCCCAAACTTAGGATCAGGGCTCATCTGACTGTCAAATTTCATTCTTGTACTGTAAAAGTCCACATTAACCAAAAACCAGCTAACTTCTGATGACATTTCAGGTTAAAGTGGTGATAGAAAATTACCCAAGATGTAAGCCATGTGGTTGGAGAAGTCTAGGCGACATATTGCTGTAACTGAGACCACTCTTCATCTAACTGAGCTTAGCCTGATTTATAACAGGAAGTGAATTCATCTGACTCACAAAACCGTGACTTCAGAAAACCAAACTTTTAATTGTTAAATCTTTATTTTATTAAATGCTTTTGTACAAACATAGCACTGTTAACATAGCTTCATCTAAAAGGAATAAATAAATAATGTTCAGTAATTAATAAAAACAATGAAATTTTAAAAAGTTGCAGGATTAAGTTTTTTGCATGTAATTCGCTTCAGAGCGGATGCATCTTTAATCATTATATGAAGGTTTGATTTTGTATAAATGCAGAAAGTTGTCTTAAAAAAGTCCAAAACGCTTTACCTTTCTCCAAACCCTTTACCCCATATGAAAAAAGCCACCAGCAAATTTACAAATAGCATTCTACATCTGCTTTTTTCTGAGGTTTTCAAGGTAAACAAAAATATCCCTGAATAAGAATTAAGAGTGATGAACTCTTATTCTAATCATTAGGTTTATAATCTCCTGTTAGGGAGATATCTATATCATATATGCACCAAATACATTTTCATAAGCCTTGTGTCTCATAATCTGTTCTGTATTGCTGATGTATACATAGATGGCATCATTTTTGTACAGATGAAAAACTCCACCCAAGTAACTGTTGGAGGTATTTTCAGGTCCTTTGGATTTCTTTGAATACATCCTGGATTGTAGAAGTCTGATGCTTCCTCCGGAATATCGCTCTGTTTCCATTTCCACTGAATGGTGAAAACTATTATCTGGTGAGAAGTACACCTTTGAATAGATGTAGTAGAATCCCTCTTTTTGGATGATGAGTTTTCCTTTGTCGTAATTCATTTCATAGAGTATAGGGTCAGCATTTCGGCTCCATGACATTATGTGTTTGTTGTGTTGCACATCTTGGCCATCTAATGAACAATACATCAGTCTTGATATTAGCACTAGTGATTAGGTTCTACCTTCGTTTGAAGGTAGTTAACATTTTATTTGGAGAAGTTACAGAGAGGGTTTCACCTGTCAGATGTGCCATTGGTTTGGGAGGACGCATCTCATCAGTTGGGCTTTTGGTGGTCGGGACAGGAAAGCCTGCACAAAATTCCCATATTTTGTTTTTATATAAGTAAAATAAAACCCAACTATTTATTATTTTAAATGAAAGCTTGCTGAGACATACCTCCACTTTGCTTTTCGGAGTGAGGTGAGTTTTCCTGCAATGATTAAAGAAAAAAGAACATTCAAGTGGTTTAGCTTTGATGTGGATGCATTCATGCATTAAGTAAATATTCACAGTTGTATGGCCTCTGGTGCAAATTAAGTTGCTTTGGGACAAAGGGTTAAAGAGAAAAAAGGTTATAACTTTTCAGCATATGTTGCATGTTTTGCAAGCATTTCGCGGTTATGCGTTGTCCGTGAGGGGGGCTGGTAGGTTTTTCATACAATGCACATTAGGTAGATCTTTATCATGATACAGGAAATAGACCATTTTCCTGCAACATGATTTGTTTTTGCATTGCTTTTGATGTAATAGGCATTGCAGGTTCATTTATACAGCCCATTTCAGAGGTCAGACAATTCAAGTGCTGTAGATGAGAAAAAAAGGAAAAGTACATCTCAATGGCATAAAGGGAACACAAAACGTAAGGAAATAAAAATGATTAATTAAGGTAAGATGACTAAATAGAGAAAAGTATATAAGATGATCAATAAAAAAAACATAAAAGGAAAGTGTAGATCCTCAGACAGCACCCGGACCTTATGACAAACCTCAGAGTATCAACTGTCCACAATTGCAGGCAGCATTTGACTATACAAACCCAAAATACGTCAGCAAAGTTCTTGATAAACAAGAGGTTCTCCATTAGCGGTCCACTCTGTTCCTCTTTACACTAAAATAATTAAAAGCTCAGCATTTTTGGATGAAAAAAAACCTTTCATTCACATGATCTGAGTAAATGAGGGTCTGCTTAAGTTCACAAGAGAGCTTCATTATTTACTCACACACTTAAGAGCCCCAAAATAAATGGTGTGAAAATCATACGTCGAGAACTTTACTTTAAGTGGTCGTGTTGGAAAGCAGCAGATTTACTAAAAAAGTTTCCACACTGGAAATTCAGTTTGGTGGAAGAGCTGACGATTTTTCCTTTGGACACCATGTGGCTCTTAACATGTGCACCAGAAAACCTTTTTATGAGCAGTATCATCACCAAATTTCTAACTTATGCTTTTCACTTAATCAGCGCTTTACAAAACTTCTCATACTAATATTCAGCATTCTGATTATACTTTATCAGTCATCCGTATTATTACTGATGTTGTCATTTAATTTGTTCACAGTATTAATATTGTTTGTAACTTTACAAGTTCAAGTGTGGAATCATGTTATTCACTATTCATGGAAAATTTTACATATTTAGACAAATAAAAAGCTTTGACGTTAAAAAAAAAGGTAGAAAAGAGTTGAAACAGGAAAAGAATACTGAAAGTGAGAAGTGGTAGTAAAGATGATTAAATTCGTATGAAAGTGAGATTCAACCAGTGGGGTGAAAAGGTAAATGTAATGGAACAGAAATTGTACAGTAAAACATATACACACACATGCGTTCACACACACACACACACACATACTTAGGCAATATTACAAACACAAGATACTTACAGCTTGAAAAGAATGAAAGCGATATATGAAGCAAGCTTCGATGGCCAAGCCAACCAATGCCAGGGTCACCAGGAGGATGAGCAGGTTCTGTACCGCATCGCTTCGCTTCTTCTCTTTGCTCAGTCTAGGCGGCACAGCTGGACGTGTTGCATTAGTGTCCACTACAAACACAGAGGGAATGTTACCTTGAGCCATACCTCCGGGGCTCCTTTTGGAATTGTAGAACATTTCAGTGAATGGTCAAAGCTGTCGTTTCAGAGGGGCTGAAGAGACCAAAAGACACTTGGGAGGTAGAGCGGTGCAGAGAGGTTGCAAAATGGGTGGGCTCACTTCTGGTTGGTCCAAGTGGAGATGGCTCATGAGTAGTCAGAAACAGACAGCAACAAGAATCTTGAGATGTGTCACTGAAGCACCTATGAAGGCTCCCAAAGATCCACAGTCACTGTAGTCATCAAAATGAAACCATTGTTAGATGCCTTGTTGGTGTAAAGGTAGAAGACCATGCAAGTGAGGGGGAGATCAGACAATGTGCATTTTGACCCTGTTTCACACCCTCCCACTTCACTGCAAGAGCAATGTTGAAACATTTTCGTTCACACTTCCTCTCCTCTGCACTCTCTCTTTGCAGCTTGTCTATAAGTTTAACATCAGTTATTATTGGCAAGGTCTAAACTAACATTCATTTCTTGACAACTTCTCATTGACATTGCTGTTTAGAAGGCCAGAAGAAACAAAAAACAAATGTATAGCAAATCAAAACTGTTCTTTTCTGCAGAGTTGAAAAATCATGTGATCGTGATTGGTAATTTACACACAGATAAATCGGCTCTAGCTGAATAGGGAACATCCCCTCTTCCACACTATTTCTAATGATATGGTCATGTTCATGCTTCCTAATAACTTTCCTGAAGATTTTGTCTTGATTTAGAAAAAGGGAAACCCTTCACACCCAAACCTTATTTGTATTGTATAGAATAGATTGTGTATATTACCAAGTTTTAATCATCATATTCAAAATGGTGTATGACATTTATATTTCAGGGACCAGGTTTCCAGAAAAGAAGGCATGCATAGAAGAGGTCTGTCCGTCCTCTGCTGTAGTTTCCTGTGGTTTGCGTGACTTTGTTTCCATGCACCTTTCTTCTTATTCTTCATTTGATGCAATGTTAAAAACACTATGTACCGACAAGACTTCTAGGCAAATAGATCCTATCCTAGCACTATTATGCTATATTCACCTTTTTTGACAGTGAATACATTTTTCTTATGTTTACAATCATCACTCTGTTTTTTTTTTTACAAAACATTTATTTTTATTGTGGCCAAGTACATTAAATTGCTTGAAGGATCGATTGATTTTACAATCACAGGAGATTTGATGACATGTTTTTGATAATAGGATAAAGAGTAAACAGCCCTACATTAAACTGTACATTACAGTTCAGTCAGGCAGATGCGGTTTCTGCAAACAGTGGTCAGCAGCACCCCTTCCGGTGTAATCCCCCCCCCCTGCTGATTTACATTTCACAGCATCATATGACTCCTGTGCAGTACTTTGTTTTATACAGAGATGGAGAGTGCAAAAAATAAAGAAAATCACTCAAGTCAACGTACAGCAATTAAATTACCCATTCAAAATGTTAAATAAAAGCAAGAATGGCCGAAGCAAAATGTAACTTTGAATAAAAGTTACTGTTTTGTAAGCAAACTAAAATAATTCTTCGGGTCCATTTCCTTCTTGTACTTATATACATCTTATGTGGAGAAACTAATTTATTTTCCTCTCTGTTGGCGCTGGTAAGCTAGCCTTGCATCCATTTGCACCCGTTCTTCTTATGGAAATTTAAAGTCACTGCATCTGACACTTTGCACTGCATCATAACAGGGCATTACAGAGGCACGCAACCATGCAGCTACACACACTCACATTTATAGGAAAATTGGAGATACCCGTCAGCCTAACAGTCATGTTTTAGGACAGTAGGAGGAAGTACCTTAAGAGAGCCCACACATGCTCAACAGGCGAACTCCATGCACAAAGACTGAACCCAGAACCTTCCCCGTGCAAAGCTGCAGCAAGAACAAACTGTGACACGGCAGTTTGATACATTTAAATGTCAATAGTTTTTTCTAGAAAGGCTATTTGATAAACGTCTTTACATTTTTAATTATTGTTAAATGAATTATGCAGTTAATAAGCAACAACTCTGGCAATATGGATGCTTGTAAAATAATTATTTAAACTTTTCCTGGATCCAGTGCAAAATAGTAAAAGTTGGTCATCATTGTTATTTATCGGTTAAAATAAAAAAAAGTAATTTACAAATTAATTGTGTTTTTTGAAGGTAAAGGAGTAAACCCAGTTGTTCATTCTTATACAGCTAAAGATATGTTCTGGTAAGTCTTTTTAAATCATGTGTCTTCCGGGTTTTCATATCTTGACACTGAAATGAGTCACTATAGTTTGGGGAGTTAAAAAAGGACTGCTCAGAATCTGAGCAGAAGTTTATTTGAAAAAGTTGGGGAAGGTCTATGCTAAAATAAATCCTGTTGGAATTTGGACTCCCTTCTATCTAACTCATGAATCCTAAACTATTCTTACAGTAGTTAGAGCTTAGTTTAGAGCTGTTGTCCTGTTGCACTCGTCTGGAATCTTTGTGCAGCTATTTATGTTTTCCCTCCATGATTCTTCCATTCAGTATTCCCATCATTATGCTCTTATTTTTTATCCCTGCTGAGGCAAATAATTTCCCTTAAACTAGGGAAAAATAGGAATGGTGGGTTCGGGGTGATGTGCGGGGATGGTTTTCAGTCATGCAGGTCACAAATAAACATCTCGGTTCAGTCAAACCCCGTGTTTGCTGTGTTTCTGCATTCTTGTGTCAAATATTAAACAAGATTTATTCTGGTTTCTTCACAAAAACATCTTCGCAGATCAGGTAACAGGGCATCTTGGCTGCTTCTCTGACTCTTGTCTGGTCTGTCAGTTAACAGAGTCTTGGCTTTGTTTTCATTTGAGCCTTACATCTGTTTATTTATAAAAGTTTTAATATTTCTTTATAACCTAACCATTTAGACTACTCCCTGAATTTGATCATTGATTATCTCTAAGAAATCTCTAAGGCCTTCAAAAAGAAAGTTATATATATATATATATATATATATAGCACCAGTTCACAACACAAATCACCTCAAGAAACTAAATGAAGACAATGCTGTCAGATTGGTAAGGAAAACCATTTTGATTGCATCCAGTCATGACTTGCAAGACATGCTGCTACTGGATGAGCCTTACGTCGACAACCTACGCTTGTATTTTGTTGTTGACTCATCAGCAATCCCTCACAGCGTGCATGTAGCAACTGTGGAGAGGAAAAGTTACTTTTAACAGGTAGAAACCTCCAGTAGAATCACACTGATAAAAGGTTGGAGAACCATATACTTAAAAAAATGTATGGTAACTTTTTCCACTTAAAAATTCTTTGTAAATGTCTATATTACTTACTAAGAAGAGTTGATTTAACAAACAAACTGAAGACAATTTTATTACCAAAACTTGTATGTACTTTTGTTTTGCTTTTCAATTTTTCACAGAGACATACAACCATGAGATTTAACCTAAATGTAATTTGCATGGACTGTAGGAGGAAGCCAGAGCAAACCCACATATGCACGGCAAGAACATGCAAACTTCATGCAGAAAGACCCTGGACCAGATATTGAACCCAGAACCTTTTTGCTGCAATGCAACAGTGCTACAAATCTTGCCACCATGCAGACAACAAGCAAGCAATACTTTCTATCTCTGACTTAAAAACAACATTTTACTCCTAATATCCAAGTAAAGTTGGGAACTTATTTAAGTGGTTTTGTTTACACTATTTGGTAATATAAATTACATTTACCTGTGAATGAATATAGATTTACACATTAATCTAAGTTACACATTAAACAAAAGGTTTCATTTTGAAGTAAAAGCAATTACATGGCACTTATCAGTACATTTAGCATAAAAACAGTTAATATTTACGGGACAAAATGTTACATACTGCAGATGTAGCAGATTTAGTTTTTGTACAAAGCTCTATAAATGACTTAGAGAAGCAGATCATTTCTGACCCATTTATTTTGATGCACCTTATTCTTTATATAGGCAATGCATCTAAACTTATTCAACCCAGTCAAGCCCACACACTGCATCTTTCTTTAGGGTGTGGTCTGATCACATTTTTGAAGGAATAACCTGGTATTAATTTTCTCATAAACAAACCGAATGATGAGATAAAGTTTACCTCATTTTGTTTTGAGTTAGCTTTTATTTAGAACATTTTAGACTGCATTTGAATTAGATTTTTAAAAATCAAACTGCAAAATCAAACTTCAAACTGCAAAAATCTGCACTCAAACTGGGTTTCCCTTTTAACAAGTTCTTTGAAATTGCCAGAAGTTACTTGCTTTAAAGTGATGTTTATTAATAAAGATAAAACATTTTTCATAGTGTCTACGTGTGATCTGCATGTCAGTAAACCACTGCTGGACGGGGATGCTTTTAAGTAAAATGAGGACACCCACAAAGAGGAAATGATGTCAGAGTTAAGTCTGACTGGAAGGTATGCTGCACAGCAACTCAAGAGCAAGATGAAAAAAAAAATCACACTGAGGTTAAGTCTGCGAGCCAGTGTAAGGACTGAAAAGAAAAGGCAGGATATTACAATAAAACCAGGTATTGTTCTTGCTGTCCGAATACAAGAAAAGTAAAAAAAAAAAAAAACTACATACAAATCACATATATTAAAGATACAGACTTGTATTAAACCTAAAATTTAAAATAAAATCAGCTCCTGTCCAGATTGTCTACAAGTCAGAGGACAGATATGTCTCCAACTTTCATTTCAGTTTCTGCACATTAATGATAAAACTTCCTCATGCTCCAGGGTTACCAGTGGAGTACCACAGAGATCATTGCTAGGACCAATTCTTTACTATAAATATGCTCCCAATAGGAAGAATTATTGGACAGCATGTATCTGGTTCCTATGATTTCTAAAATTAGAATGGGAGGCAGATCTTTTAGTTATCAGGCTCCTCTCCTGTGGAACCTACTACCAGTTTTATTTGGTAAGGCAAAAACCTGTCTACTTTTAAGACAAGGCCTAAAACTTTCCTTTTTGATAAAACGTATAGTTAGAGTGGCTCATTTTATTCTGAACTATTTCTATAGTTTTGCTGCTATAGGCTTAGACTGCTGGAGGATATAGGGACCCCTGTTCATTATTCTGCTTTATTCTATCTCTTTTTCCTAAAAGGGGGTATGGATCTACATGTTATTTATTCTTTAAGTTCTTTCGATTTTAATGAAGCGTAGGCGGAAGTTCAACTAAAGAAACTAAATTACCTGCCCTCATCATCAGAGGCTTACCTGCATCTGACACAAATCAATCAGCTTTGAACCGCATCTCCATGAAGCCCT